TGGAGTAAAGAGAAGGGTGTGTTTAAACCTCTCAGTCACTATTCTCTGTTTCTCCCAGTGCTAATCACTTTAGGGCGCTAATCACTTTCCAAAGATAAAAGGCACAGTTCCTACTCAAAAAGAAAAGGAGTACTTGTGGCACCTTAGAGACTAACCAATTTATTTGAGCAGAAGCTTTCGTGAGCTACAGCTCACTTTATCGGATGCATACTGTGGAAAGTACAGAAGATCTTTTTATACACACAAACCATGAAAAAATGGGTGTTTACCACTACAAAAGGTTTTCTCTCCCCCCACCCCACTCTCCGGCTGGTAATATCTAAAGTGATCACTCTCCTTACAATGTGTATGATAATCAAGTTGGGCCATTTCCAGCACAAATCCAGGTTTTCTCTCCCCCCCCCCCCCACACACACAAACCCACTCTCCTGTTGGTAATAGCTTATCTAAAGTGATCACTCTCCTTACAATGTGTATGATAATCAAGGTGGGCCATCTCCAGCACAAATCCAGGGTTTAACAAGAACGTGGGGGGGGGGTTGGAAAAAACAAGGGGAAATAGGTTACCTTGCATAATGACTTAGCCACTCCCAGTCTCAATTCAAGCCTAAGTTAATTGTATCCAATTTGCAAATGAATTCCAATTCAACAGTTTCTCGCTGGAGTCTGGTTTTGAAGTTTTTTTGTTGTAATATCGCAACTTTCATGTCTGTAATCGCGTGACCAGAGAGATTGAAGTGTTCTCCGACTGGCTTATGAATGTTATAATTCTTGACATCTGATTTGTGTCCATTTATTCTTTTACGTAGAGACTGTCCAGTTTGACCAATGTACATGGCAGAGGGGCATTGCTGGCACATGATGGCATATATCACATTGGTGGATGTGCAGGTGAACGAGCCTCTGATAGTGTGGCTGATGTTATTAGGCCCTGTGATGGTGTCCCCTGAATAGATATGTGGGGACAGTTGGCAACGGGCTTTGTTGCAGGGATAGGTTCCTGGGTTAGTGGTTCTGTTGTGTGGTATGTGGTTGCTGGTGAGTATTTGCTTCAGGTTGGGGGGCTGTCTGTAGTCAAAGACTGGCCTGTCTCCCAAGATTTGTGAGAGTGTTGGGTCATCCTTCAGGATAGGTTGTAGATCCTTAATAATGCGTTGGAGGGGTTTTAGTTGATTATCATACACATTGTAAGGAGAGTGATCACTTTAGATAAGCTATTACCAACAGGAGAGTGGGTTTGTGGGGGGGGAGGGCGGGAGAAAACCTGGATTCGTGCTGGAAATGGCCCAACTTGATTATCATACACATTGTAAGGAGAGTGATCACTTTAGATAAGCTATTACCAGCAGGAGAGTGGGGTGGGGGGAGAGAAAACCTTTTGTAGTGGTAAACACCCATTTTTTCATGGTTTGTGTGTATAAAAAGATCTTCTGTACTTTCCACAGTATGCATCCGATGAAGTGAGCTGTAGCTCACGAAAGCTTCTGCTCAAATAAATTGGTTAGTCTCTAAGGTGCCACAAGTACTCCTTTTCTTTTTGCAAATACAGACTAACACGGCTGTTACTCTGAAATCTGATTCCTACTCAAAAGAACTCACATGGATGGAAGGTTGAAAAACGATAACATACAAATAAGTAAAGGAGCTTTATGGTCATAAACAACATTTTGATAGTACTAAGTGATCCAGGGTGGGGGTATAGTCTTTCTTTTTGGCATAGACATGTAGACTATCCCAAATAACTCTGTACCCTTGCTGTTGTTATAAACTGGTTAGGTTTTGGTAGTGGTTACAGTAACAGTGGGTTTTCAGGAGGTATGCAAATGAGGAGAAGGAAGTGGCTCTATAGACAGCTCAGAAAGGGCATTCCATGCATGAGGGGTGGGGTGGAAAAAAGCAGAGATAAGCAGTCAAATGGCACCAGCAGCAACAGGGAGGGAAGGGGGGCAATGTGAAAAGAGGCCAGGGAGAATAGGTAAAGAGGGTTTTGAAGGCAAGGACAACAAGCTTGAACTAATAGAATGGAGGCAGGGAAGCTAGGGAATGAGTCACAGAGGGAGTGACATTGTGTGTTTCCTTGGTAGTTTCACAATCTTAACAGCTATTCTATGACTGGACTGGAAGAGGCCAATGTGAGCATTTGGGAGTGCACAGCGAGTTACAGTAACAAAGGTAGCAGATGATGAGGACCTGGTTGAGAGCTTTGACTGAAGGGATAGAAAGAAATGGGTGGATTTTAGAGATGTTTCTGGACAAAGAAGTAGTGAGAGTTGATTCCGTCTTGGATGTGTGGGGCAATCGCATGTTCTCAGGATAATTTATTTACAGCAGTGCTCATAGGCACTGGGCAAACATTCAAGAAGGGACTGCACATGCATGGAGGAATTCACAGTCTAAGGACAGCCAGCACAGCAGGCAGAGGATACGGATAAAGAAAAAGTAGTGTTAGGCTCAGCAGGTTTCCTTAGAATATCAAAAAATGTCACCAAACTGGCATTCTCCCTGGATTTTCAATTTATTCTCTTTGGGGTATTTGCTTCTCAGCAAGAATAATGCAGAATCAAGGAAATGAGGAAAGAAAACTGATTCTCACAGCATTTCCTAATGCTATAAAGATTTTTTCCCCATCACCATGCAATAATTGGGGAGAGCTATCAGAGATGCTTATACAGCATGAGGACGGATGCCAAAGAGACCAGCAGGCAGCAATTTCAACTCTCTATAAAACGCTTTCAGCTTGAAATAAATATCTACTAAGAAACAAGAGCAAGTTACCTGTTTGCAGCCATACCTGAAGCACTTTTTCAAATAACTGAATGATCTCTTCCTCAGGGGAAAGGCTGCATTATAAAGAATAAAAGTACTACAACATGGAGGAACTCCACTGGGGAATGTAAGCAACTTCAAATTCCCATCTAAATAGACTTACTTTATTCCCATCCCCACAATAAGAAAGAATGCACAACACCAGTGAATCTAGAAATAGACAGTGACATGGAAATACTTCCTTATTGACGAGTTAGTGAATTAAATCTGGAAAAGATAACACTAAGGCCCCATTCAGCAAAGCACTTACATACATACATGCTTATCTTCACACATGTGAGTAGTCCTACTGATATCAGTGGCCTGAGTAACAACAGTGAAGACTGAAGTTCTCCAGCTAAAGGCTGGCCTGCCAACTTGCTTTAACCTTGACCTAAGTGGAAGAGCAATTCATTCTCCATAGTGTTCAGTTCTTGGGGTCTCTGCTGAAGCTGCTAAGGACAGTGCTGGTGGTTTCTGATGTAAGCACCTATCTATTAGTAACAGGACTGATACCTCAACTCATGTCACGTAATCCAGTGCCCAACTGGGAGAGAGTAAAGAATAAAACTCCATCTACATTGGGAAACTGGCCCATTCCTGCCAACATTTGTTCGCAATGGAACCCTCTGAACTGGTGATGAAAAAGGTTTTACTTCTAGTGTAGGTAGGATAAGAGCAATTTCAGCACCACTTGCTTTATTTGCATCTCTTTCAGGGTATGCCTTCACGGGAGCTGGAGGCGTAATTTCCAGCTCGAGGAGACATACCAGCTAAAACAGAAGTGTAGCCACAGCAGCAGGAGGAACTAGCCACCTTGCATCCGACGAAGTGAGCTGTAGCTCTCGAAAGCTTATGCTCAAATAAATTGGTTAGTCTCTAAGGTGCCACAAGTACTCCTTTTCTTCTTACATACCTAGGGTCTCAGATGGGATTGTACTTGGGACTGCTACACTTTTAGCGCATTAACTTGATCAGACCTAGCATGGGTATGTCTCCTCAAGCTGGAAATTACATGCCCTTAGTTTCAGCCTTATGTCCCCCTCAATAATGGAAGCAAAAATCCTCATCAATCCACCTACCATGCTCCTTCTAGGACTCTAAATAATCATTCCTGAGTCCATCAAGGCCTCAAATATTCTTGGTAAGTCTCAATCACACTTTCTGTAACTGTGAGGAAAACAGTTCTGTACCATCGACACTAGCCATGAAAGCATTATCAACATTCATTCGGGAAGATCCATTGCTGGCAGCCATCATCACTTTGTAGCATAGACGAGGCTCTTGAGTCACTTCAGGACCCTGGGTCAAGCTAACGACACACTCTATATCCCCTTACCACTCTCCGGCCACCACTGTATTTTTTAAACTCTGAGTTTTCCCTGACTACCCACTCATATCAACTAAATATACCTCCTTTGAATATTAATGTATCTTCTAACCCCCAACCTGATCTTACTTCCATGTAATTCAATGGCTAAGCATAAGAACATAAGAACGGCCATACTGGGTCAGACCAAAGGTCCATCTAGCCCAGTATCCTGTCTTCTGACAGTGGCCAATGCCCCAGATGGAATGAACAGAACAAGTAATCATCAAGTGATACATTCCCTGTCGCCCATTCCCACCTTCTGGCAAACAGGCTAGGAACACCATCCCTGCCCATCCTGGCTAATAGCCATTCATGGACCTATCCTCCATTAATTTATCTAGTTCTTTTTTGAAGCAACTATTGACTTCCATGCGAACAAGAGCAGGCCCTTGATTCGTAAATAGATGTAGATATCCTTTGTTGCACAGCATTCTTTTGAACCTGGCTAGACTCAAATATGGAATGCAACATGTGACTGAGACCCAAAATGAGGGGCACCCCAAAAATATTTATGCATGAAATTTACAACACTGCCAGACTCCTTCTTTCAGTTTAAGAATGCTTTCTATAATCTCAGGCACATGATTCTCTGTTGGTGAAATAAAGAATCTTCAAAGTGAAGGAACATCAAATTTGTAATTTTGAGATACAAATAAGTGACTATTCCTTGGAATGAGGAACCACTGATGGGCATGCTAAATAGTTACATCCACTGGAATCTGCTATGACATAAAGAAACAAAGTGAATTCATAATGTATCATTTGTTTGTATCAGTGATTCAATCATTCTTTATTGCTAGGAATTGTATTTGTTTTTTCCAAATTATCTTATTACAATTTTTCGGAGAATCTTGCAAGGTAGTTTAACTGTACAGCAAGCTGGGCAATCCAGAGCTTCTGGAGGATCAGACAAAACTTTCCATTCCCCTGTCTTTTGGTCTAACAGGTAGGCATTTGGATTGACAGAATAATCTTCAGGTCGCTTGTCACCTGCACAAATGATGCCTCCACACACGAACACCTTGTTGTCACCAATAGAACATACCGCATGAGACAAATCCAAAGTATAGTTATTTGGTAAGAGAGGCACAGTGTTCATGGACTTGTTGGCTTTAATCTTCTGCAGGTTTATGTTCAGACTTTGTTTGTGGCTCTGTATGCTCAGGATGTTGTCCTGTTGAAAAGACAACAGAGGTTTGTGATTGAATTCAATGGGAAAGGTGAGGTACTGTACCACTTCCCCTGTCTGAGTGTCAAAGCAATCCACCATCCCTACTCGGGAGAAACGCCCATTGACCAGGCATCTTCCCGTCACAATATAAATAGACTTGTCTTCCTTTGTGATCAATGCAGTTGCATCCATAGGAATGCTCATCTTCCCAGCCAGCGTCCACTTCTCTTTCCTCTCGTCATACTTGTAGATGTGAGAGACATATTTTCTTGGGGCTGTGCTGCCTCCTACGGAGTACACCACTCCCCCACATGTCACCATGGTATGGAAGACCAAACCTATGGGCAGATCAGGCAGTTTAGTCCAAGAGTTGTTATCTATATCATACCTCCAGGCAGTCTTTAAGCCAGATATCTGCTCTGTTGTTCCTCCAGAGACGTAGATGTACCTCCCGACTGAAGTTGCACTGAGAGCGGCTGCTTTATATGGCATCTCTGTTAGTTTTAGCCACATGTTCTCCTCAATAATGTAAGCAAAAACCCCATCATTGAATCTACCGTGCTCTTTCTGGCCTCCTAAAATCACCACTGAGTCCATTAAGGCCCCCTTTCTTTGGAAAAGCAGCAGACTTTGAGGACTTTCTTGCTTTCTGTCACTCAAAATGGTCTCCATCTGAGCCAGGGGGCCAGAGTGACTCTCAAACAGCAGCACTTCGCGGCTGGCAGCTAGCAGCATCTTGGTTGAGACACCAGTTAAATGAATGTAGGGGAAGAACTTTTTGAAATACTTATCTCTTTCTCCCCTTTTGTGTTTCACCCACTGGAGCAGGGCAAGGAAGGCTTGATCCTCGTTCTGCACGTGAAGGTTCTCATCCCTTAGCAGCTTGCCAAAGATCTGGTGGGGGCAGCGCAGGAGGTCTGAAATTCCCTCTGTGCCCGACCAGTAGTAGAAGTTGTCACGGATACCAGCATAGGCACTGTTTGCCACCTCTTTCAGCTCATAAGTGTTGGCTAGGAACAGGTAGCACAGGCAGTTGTTCTTCTTAAGGGACCTTAGGAGGAAGTCAGAGCAGTGGGCTCTTAGAGACTCTGAGTTGAAGTAGTTAGCCCCCTTCAGCAACTCCTCCACATTCTTCTCAGACACCAACACCTTACCAGTGTAGAAATAGTCCAGCAGTTGCTCCACCAAGGTAGGGTTCAGGAAATTAGCATCGATGATGATAAAGAGCTCATCACCTAACTTCATGTCATTGCTTGAGATCAGATTCTTCACATGGGTAGACACAGCTGCCAAGACATTGAGGTGGGCAGAGAAGACCTGCTGGTCCACGCTGAGTACCACATCGCAGAACTCTCTATTCTTTCTCTGTTTGTTGAGGGCCTGCAAGACCAAGCTGTTGTGGTTCTTTTCTGTGAACTGCATCCTCATGTTCTTAGTATGGTTAGGCAAGAAACAGGGATGAGAGTGCAAGCTGTAGGAGGACTACTTGTCAGGTGTTATGAAAGCCCCACTCGGTGACAGAGGAGTGATGTCATCAAGTATAGTGGCCAGGTCACAATTCAACACCTGTGACATGTAGAAAAAGAGTCTTTTAACAATCTGGCTAGCTGTGATACACAGAGAGTATGGATTGCTGTAGTAGCCAGGCATGGAGATAATAAAATAAGAGAGGCACAAGACAAACCAGGCTGGGCTCTTCTCTCACCTACCTGGGGTAAGAGCTATATATGTATTTATATAAAATCATTTTTGCCCCATTACTACGGCTACGTTAGGCGTTTGCAGGAACATGCATTTTGCACTGAGCTTTCAAGGTGGTGAGTCTGGAATGCATTCTGGTTTCCCCTGGTAGATTATTTCACTGTGTAGGGTCCAGTACCCAATTCACCCTGCCTTCAGCTGCCAATATTCTTACTCTAGGAGCATCCGTGTCCCCAAGGAGCACTGTGGTCTTATGAGCAGCTAACCTGGCCCGAGCCCATTAAAGATTTTGAGGTTTAGGACCGGATATTGAACTGGGCCCATTCCCAGAAGGGGAGTGTGGAACTCTGGTGTCGTGTGTTCCTTGCAACTCAGTAAGAGGCTGCTGCCAGGTGAAGAAGCTGGAGTTTTGGGTTGGCCCTCATTGATCACCCAAAGTGGAGGGAATTACAGTCACCCGATCTAGAGGTGACAAACATGGATTGTGAAAAGAAAAGGAGTACTTGTGGCACCTTAGAGACTAACCAATTTATTTGAGCATAAGCTTTCGTGAGCTACAGCTCACTTCATCGGATGTATACTGTGGAAAATACAGAAGACATTTTTATACACACAAACCATGAAAAAATGGGAGATTATCACTACAAAAGGTTTTCTCTCCCCCCACCCCACTCTCTTGCTGGTAATAGCTTATCTAAAGTGATCACTCTCCTTACAATGTGTATGATAATCACGGTGGATTGTGAGGTCTTTCTCTGATCCAAAGAGGTGAAGTCTCCTGGATCCGCAGAGGTGGAAGAAGGCATTCTTGGTATTGTTGTTACCTGGTTCCCAAGAAGCAGGGATGAGTCTTGCAGTACTCCAATGCTTCATGTTACCTGGGCAATCTTGACAGGTGCCTTTGATGGAGGACAGGGTGATATTCTTTTAAGATCCTCAGATCATTTACCTCTTCCTACCAGCTTTCACTTCTGTCTCACCTCGATTGAGCTTCAGTCAGGTGCTTGTGTCCTGTAGGTATTGTTATGTCTGTGTCTTATCTGTGGGCTTATCTCACATGGGCTTTGTGACACCAGCACTGCTGAGAATGAGCTGTAAAGCCTGTTGGTGACATCAGCACATTGACAGCCCTGGAGTCCATGATGCCTAATGATTTTTCCTAGGGTTGTTGAAAAGGAGGGGGCAGGACTGATCTCTGTGTGAGGGCTTGGAGACAAGGAGCTGTTGCCCATCTCTACTCTCTGATCTGTTGGAGAGAAGCAACTTTGAATTATGCTAATCACTCAGACAGGTGATGAAAGCAGGTCAGTAAGACCTTGCAGCTGATGCCTGTGACTCAGTCAAGAAGTATGAGCATGGAGGTTTCAGCTCCGTCCACCAGAACAAGGAGACCATAAGTGTGATGAAAGCCATTTCTGTACTGTGACCTGCTCTGAACCCTGCTTGTGAAGGTTCTTGGATACTGGCAAATGTACATTCTATTGGAGTCACATCATTGATAATGTTTGTATGATTTTACTTAGGTAGGGCAGGTGGTGAGCTGTGAGACTATTGTTGTCCAAAGATGGTTTCTGGAAAATTCGCTGGACTATTAGATGCTACAGGGATGTGGGCAGATGGCCTTCCCTGTTAAAATTTTGGACTTAGCTAGTTTTTGCTGGATTTCACCAGCCATGATGAGTAGGGATATGATTTCTGGAAGTCTTTCAGAGCTTCTAGTGTTACCAGGGTCCAGAGCGCTTGCTATCCCGGCATAGTTCTATTAACTTCAGTAGGATTATACTCCATAGTAAGCACTAGGCCTTGGAGTAAGTAGTTGCAGGACTGGGCCCTAATTTTGTCCATTCACATTTGGAATCAACGAGTCTGCTTACATGAGAACGGTGAGCAGGACATGTCCCAGTCTCTGTCATGAGGCTTCATACCTGCTGGAGAAGCTCACACGATTCATTGTTGTGTCTCTACAAAATAGTGGCTATTTTTAAAATAAGAGATCCATCAAGAAATGGATTTACAAAATAGACCAGGGGTGGCCAACCTGAGGCTCCAGAGCCACATGCGGCCCTTCAGAAGTTACTATGCGGCTCTTTGTATAGGCACCGGCTCCGGGGCTGGAGCTACAGGTGCCAACTTTCCAGTGTGAAGGGGGGTGCTCACTGCTCAACCCCTGGCTCTGCCCCAGGCCCTGCCCCCACTCTACCCCTTCCCGCCCCCTCCCCTGAGCCTGCCGTGCCCTCACTCCTCCCTCTCCCCCCCCCCCCCAGCCTCCTGCACACCACGAAACAGCTGATCGGGAGGTGCAGGGAGGCACTGATGGGCGGGGCTGCCAGTGGGCGGGAGGTGCTGGAAGTGGGGGGGGAACTCATGGGGGGCTGCTAACGTATTACTGTGGCTCTTTGGCAATGTACATTGGTAAATTCTGTCTCCTTCTCAGGCTCAGATTGGCCACCCCTGAAATAGATAGATAGATAATTTAAAATTCCCTTCTGCTTTCTTTTTCTTTTTCCAGGATCTGGTCTCTTTCACACGTGATCTCTCTCTTCCTTCTCTGTTTTTGCCCCACCTCTTTCTTTCTTGGCTCTTCTTCCATGATAAAATGCCTACAGTTCTGAAATTCTAGAGAGTATGATCTAGCTGGAGCATGCTGAGTGCGGATGGAATTTTCAGAGAATTTGGCTTCTAAAATCTAAATCTGTAAAGAGCATGTGCAAACTGTGATTTTTCAAAGGCCACATTTGAGCAGATTTTCACAGGGGAAGCAAAAGTCACATCCCAGACACAAAGGCCACCTTCCTGTCAAATTTCAAGTTCCTTCTCCAAAACATGGTGTCACTAAATCATTTCAAAGGAAAGGTCCCCCAAAACTTTTAACGTAGGCTAAACATTATATTTTTCCCTAGCCTGAGTCTCAGAAACATCTGAACTATTTTGGCTAAAATTTTCCAAAAAAATTCAGCCTGAGGCAGACACCCAGCATGGAAAATTTCTGCCCAAATGGTTGAAATTTGGTAAAGTACCTGAAAACAGTCTTTGAATGGGAAGTGGCAGAGAAGCTGAATAGCGGGTGCCCCACCTAGAATTTCTAATGGGAAAAGGGAAGAAGGTCCAGGGGTTAGGGTGCTAACCTAGGATTTAGGAGAAATGGGGTCAAGTCCACAGGTTCCTTTATGTGACCTTAGCCAAATCACTTCGTGTGTCTGCCTCAGTTACCCATCTGTAACATAGCACCTGCCTAGGCACAGGGCTTTGTAAAGATAAATACACTATAGGATGTGAGGCACTCAGATTCCATGGCAATGGAGGCTTAGAATGTCTTGTTTTCCATTAAGTCTTAGGCTGTTGCTTACAGAATTACAGACTGTCTGGGTGAGGTGAAACCACCACCAGCCTCTAACAAGAGGGAAGAAAGGATGTATGGAACCTAATCGAAACTCAGGATTCTTGGCCTGACCACCACAGATGAGGAAGTCCTCTCCCCTGAGATGTGAGCTTGCAGGGCTGCAGTCTGATGGACTTAAGGGAAACACCTACGGATGTCAGACCTGAGCCGAATATAAGGGGGAAAAGAAGACTGAGGATGGGGGAATGAGTCCCAGGTACAGCTGCGCTGCTAGTGGTGTCAGGTAGGAAGCTAAATCCAAGACAGCCGCCTTGATCCTAGGCAATGATTCTCTGAGGCAATGTTCAAACAGGCTTTTGCAATAGGGGGGGGAAAAAGTCAAACTCAGCCTCACACTTTCCCCTCTAAGCAGTTAGAAAAGATTTGCAACTCCCATGAGACTGCAAAAGCCTGCACCTAACCATGTGTATCCATCAAAGGCTTTAGGAATCTTTGAATTGCTAGAAAGTATTAAGCTTTAAAAGAGCTCATTATTTGACTTGCAGTCAAACTGTACTAATAGAAGTGCATAGAGTGAAACATGGACATTCTCATAGTCTCAAGTCACTCATTGGCAGAATTTGGGTGGGATCTAATGACAGGGACAATTTCCAGCTAGAACATGAAGGGGCAATATTGCCTGTGATTCTTGCACTGTTATCACTAAAGGTAAAGGCTTAAAAGTATATGTGTGTTCTTACTGAACAAAAAAAAATAGGCAATACATATTGAGTGAAAACCTGGCCCACCTGAAGTCAATGGCAAAATTCCCATTGACTTCAATGGGGCCAGGATTTCACCCATTACATATAGTGTTCATCAAAAAACAATTGCACAATTGCTATTGCAAAGTACTTATTAGAGATTCTACAACTTGGAAGAGTTGAAAACTACTGGTTCTGGATCTCTGTAATTAATAGAAATCAGAAATTCATGTTCTTGAGGCATCTTTTACTTACTTACTTTACTGACAGGATTGGGCAGGAAACTTGCCTCAAGCACAGGGTGTGCGCTAGTTCTGTAGAGGTGTGAAGAACTTGGTGTATCTGTGTGGGAAGAACTTGGCATGTCTAATGATCCTCTAGGAAAGGAGGTACAGCATCCCCAGCCTGCCAAAGCCTTCCTGTCATGCAGTAGCACACAGATGGAATTGATTGCTAAGATGCCATGCAGTCGTCAATGTACTTGAAGGCGGATAGCTGCACATCTGGCAAGAAACAATGGAGAAGGACTTCATGGTGTATTAAAACTATGAAGTTGATACATATAGATTAGCTGTAGTGAGGACCAGTGGGTAGTTTTTATATGACGGAACCTAAACAAGAGACTAACCGTATCAGACAACTTCTTTGAGAAACTGCTCCAAATACCACAATGTTTAGAGCACGGTTCTGCTCCATCTTTATTAAATGGTGTTTAATAAAGGTGCTTTAATTAGTTGCTCTGTTAATCAATTAATTTGTGTTGA